TGACCTGGTGACCTGACCCAAGGTCACCCGGACCTGAAATTTTCAGGTCATATGTAAAAAGGTTGCCCCATAGGCTGTGCCAAATTTGGCGGCGCTGCGCGCCGCCGTTTTTACGCTATCTTCGAAAAACCTTAGGGGGGGGTCGCATCGACCCCCCCCCCCCCTGCCAGGGCGAGGGTTAAAGCTAACTTCAAAATTTAACTTCAGGGCCATGACCTGCGTAAGGGTCATTTGTATGTTCGTTGATTTGTAACGTTGACCTGAATACATCCGAGGTGGTTTCATTGCTTTAACATGTCTTTAATAACCCGGCAGGCGGTGGGCCTCCCGGCCACCTTCCGCGCGGTGGGGGAAGGGGGCATTCCCCCCCCCCCCCCGTAGTCCGAAACTACTGGACGGATCCGTAAAATTCAAACGGCGTACGATAGCGCTGTCAAATTTGTGGAGAGAAATTCAATTTCATTGACCTTAGGGTCACCGATGACGTCACAGGTCAGGTCAAAGATAAAATGTTTTGCCGTTCACGGTTCTTCTAGGGAATGCGCTATAACATCGAGTAAAACGCATTTAATCGAAAATCAGCGATAGGGTGTCAGTTACCTAGTACATATGCTGCTATAAGAGATCACTGATAATACCAGGTCAGGTCACAGGTCAGGTCACCAAGGGTCAGCACATGAACCCAATTTTACTGGGCTGTGTGATGCATGCTTTATGGCCAATTTTTCATTTCCAACATAATGGTGTTGGTTATAAGACCATCAGGCAGGCTTAGATCACTTTCTGGTGGAGGCCAGGTCAAGGTCAGGTCAAAAAAGGTCAAACTTCAGCTCGTCACGGGGAGTCTAATGGTGGTCTTTGTTTTGCAACACGTGGTCTAGAATTGCTAAAAATTGAGTTTGAAAATTTGACGTCATCAATTTTGAACAGTATTTTCCGCTATAACTTGGCGAAAAACGAGGTATCGATCTCAAATTTGGTATGCGGATAGAAAGCGATAGGGACTGTCACCTTTATTCCTGTTTTTTTTTTTCAAAAAACCTTTTGGATTTTTTGGCTATTATATAAAAAAATGTTGTTGATTTTTGGGGTCAAAATCTATAAAATTCAAATATCTGAGTCGATAATGTAATATTCAAATATCTGAGTCGATAATGTTATATGTTATATAGCCCTGTTAATTTTACACCTTTTATCTGTGAAATATTTTTCTCTTTCTCTAAAGCTGTAGGCCTGACAGCTCTTCCCTCGAAACCTTTTTTGGGTCGAAAATGGTCGAAATGTCGTCACTCCGACGTTATTAGCGGCCAACCTATCGAAGCCCTTGGAAAATGTGTTCGTCACAATGTGTAAAAGCTACTCACGGGAGGGTACTGCAAGTTTGGTGACGATCGGCGCAGCGGCTCTGGAGATATCCCTCGCCGGCCGAAGGGGGGGGGGGGGCGGGTGCCGCCCACCATAGGGTTTTTCGCGATAGCTCCGAACACGCTGGCGATAGAGAGCTGAAACTTGGTACACCTGACCTTTGATCCAAGCCGGATCTTTTGACACCAACCGCATTTTTGGGTCAGGTCAGGTCACTGACCTATGACGTCATAAGTGAACCTCTGCACGGTCATCAGATGTCGCAACTTCGCAACGCCCTCAGTGTCAGAGGAAGATTTCACAGGGAGATGAAACAAACAGACGTAGTACCTATCCTCCAGAGGTGCCACAAGTTGTAGGTATATCTCGGATTTTCCCTAAAAGTCACTTGAGGTCAGGTCGGTCTGGTGACCTCACCATTATAAGTCAATGAGGAAAATGAAAACTGCTATTTTGACACCGGGAACGATCTCAAACTATCTCAAGCACAAGATATCGTGAATTCATGCACTCCTTGCAAGGTCCAATGTTTCACATTTGCATTGTTGAATTTGCGTGACGTCATTAATGACGTCACTAGGGTCATAAGAGTTTTTTGTCAATAACTCCCGATCAAATTGAGCTAGCGAGTCGGGAAAGCTACCATTGGACTCAGGAAGACCTGCTGAATCGAATTGTGTGCAATGTGACCTCCTTCGACCATTTTCGTGACCTGGGGGCTCTGACCTGTCCTTGGCCCGAGGTCAACAACTCAAGTTGACCTTACCCGAGCCAAAAGTATACCATTCGGCGAACACGGTGATACCAAAATCGCGGCGCTGTGACCGTTTTTGGCGGAGTTATTCTATCAAAAACTCGTGCCTTGAGCCACTTGACCTGACCTCAGAGGTCACCGGTTGATCTGAGACCTTAAAATCGGTTACCAGTCGCTGCGTCTCGTAACGGCGCACACGCTGTTTTATTTTTTTCACCACGCCTTAGCTCGATCAGGGGCGACACGGCGATGGGGGGGGGGGGTCGTACCACTCCACCCCTTTCCCTTCGGCCTGCGCAAATGTAGAAAACCAATAGGTCCGGCAAGACGAGGGTTTTAAGGAAAAATTAATGAATGACTCTAATTGCGGAAATATTAGTGACATGATATCCGCTGCATTTCAACGTTTTTGTTTTTATTATCTTAGTTGATATCAATAAATGACTAGGTATGTGTTTGCCTGCTGCAAGAACGCTAGGGTTGGGTCAACTGAGGTCATAGCGGTAAAACTCGTCTTTGCTTATACCTACCTAAGCTGGCACACAGTGAAGCTAGAGCTTCAAAAATAATGTCCCTGTGTTCGTTTTGATACGCTGCGTCGAAAGATACGCGACATGATGCATTTTAGTAAACTTATAAGCATTTGAACTTTTAAGTTCACCTACATATTGGATAAATTCTAAAAGTTCACTTAAAGTTATCTGGTTTCCTATGTTTTTCAGCGCACTTCAAAGCAAGTGCTTCTAGCGCTACATGGTGTGTACTGTGTAGTCTTCTCGACCCCTTTAGCTTCTCTGGCCACCTTTCATTGTTTGCTTGTTTTGTTGTATTGCCTACGCTCTTTCGGTTAACAAGACCATTTTAGAGTCAGAAGCATGATGGGCATTAGGGGGAGACATTGGTTTGGGCGGCACTCTGCGTGACCCGTCGGGGCTGAGCCCATCACGAGTATAGGCCACCCAGCCCCCTGACGGTCATCGCACCCGACTACGGGCCTGCTCCTACTCGTATGTAAGGTGGACCATGTGGGTAGCATGGGATAAATTAAGGGAGTGGAGGCGCGAAGGAGAAGCATTTGACTATCCTGAGGATGGAAACAACGGAACGGAGGCCACCCTTCATTTACTCCTCAAAATTGTGTATGACACCAGGAAAGCCTGCTGTGTTTTGTAGTTTTTTTTTTTGCTTTTTCTTTTGAAGTTGGTCTAAAGAGGTCACTTCAGAGCCGGAAGGATGATTGGTGATAGGATTTAACCCTATTCCTGGCGGGGGGGGGGGCCTCAGGAGCCCCCCCTGAGGTTTTTTGGTTATTTCTCCCAAACGCGTTGAGCTAGGAAGCTCAAATTTTCTGACTTTTCCTAAAAGGCTTCTACGCAACATGTCTGAAAATTTTGAGTTGATCTGACCTCAGGTCAGGTCACCAGAGGCGGTTTGGTGACCCTACCTCAGAAAAGTTTGCAATCATGCCAGAGCTAGAGTTTTTGACCGATCAATTTCTTCTCTTCAGGCTTTAGTTAGGGTACCAGTTTGTGCAATTTGTATATCTCGGAATTTTGATATCGGTGACCTAAGGTCAGGTCAGTTTCGCGACCTCCCCATTATAAGTCAAAGGGGGAAAAATCAACTCCCTGTTTTTACCACTAAAACGGGTCGGAATGGCCCCATATACCATACATGACTTCATATACGATCAACCTTCACTACCTTGAGGTCTGTTTTGCTGTTGGGCAGCTGTGAGGTCATGTGACGTCATCAAAGGTCACCAAAGGTTTTTGGCCAATAACTCCGTACAGGAACAAGATACAGACGCGTGGATGGTCTCATTGTGTTCAGCTTGTCAAGACGCATCGAATGATATACATGATGACCTCGAGGTCACGTGACCTGAGGTCAACCTTTGACCTTGACCTTTCGAGGTCAACATATATATCATTCGATGCGGATTGACGAGAGGATCACGATGATGCCCTTAGTTTGTTCCTATCTTGACTAATTCGAAAGTTATTCGAGAAAAACTCTCTCCATATCTAGCGCCGCCATTTTGACTTTTTCGACCCCTGTGACGTCATCTTTGACCTGACCTGAAAATGACCTTAGCAAAAATTGTAGACCTTGTCCATGCGTATCCGATGCCGTTTACCGCTTGTCGCTATCTTGCCTCGTTCTCGAGATCTTAGGGGGGGGGGCCGAATCGGCCCCCCCCCCCGCCAGTTTCTTGTCCCGGCGGAGCCCGCCAGGAATAGGGTTAAGGGAGACACGGCCACCTTGGTGGCTGTCAGCTGTGTCTCCCATCTAATTGGTCTGGACGGCCATCTTGGTGGGCCTCCGGGCTGAGCCCGTCGCATCACAGTGCAGGAGAGACCACCCAGCCCTGAGCTACCGGTCACCCCATCGCACGTGAACTGCTCCCTCTAGGCACGTGAGCCTGCTCCCGATGAACTACTCACATCGGAAGGTGACCGTCCAGCTCTGATCACTCAAAGGTGTTACAGCGTGGAGGAGAAGGGTTTGACTGTGCTGGAAAATGGTGGAACGGTGACCAGGAACACACGAGAATCTGACATAAGAGTATAACATTAGGTATATTACAATGCGGCCTTGCGTTTGTTTGTAGGTATGTATGCAAAACCATACCACGAATAAAACACCGGACGCCTGTATGTCATGCCGCTGTTTGTGTTGTCCTTTAGCACCGTCACTGCTCGTTTACCATGCACAGCTGTATGTGGGTCAGTGCAGTGCAGATGCAGCCGCCTCCCAGCTGCAGCCCTGCGCTGAGCGGTCGACCTGGCTGGCCTGTCCGGCCGGCCAGCTCTGCCAAGTTCAGCGCGGTGAAAGGGAGAGCCGGTGTGGTCGCAGCCGGTCACCACGCAGCCACCAGTCGGCACGGAGGAGGCACGGCTCACGGGCGGTGACAGGAGCTCCGGTCAGAGCTCGCTGTCCCCCACAGTCGCCCCCAGTGACCCGCGGTCAGCTCCAGTGAGCAGCTACAGTAGCCCACAGCAGTGGGACCTGTGTCCGAGAGAGTGAGAGGGGAGAGAGTGATTGGTCAACAGTGAGAAGAGTGGAGCTGCCGTCAACAGTCGGCGGCCTCTGTGACCTCTCGTCTATCACAGCGTCAACAGTGTCTCCAGTCACGTGGTCTCGCTGTCTCGCGCGGCGCCAGTACTGGCCGAGTCACGTGCTCTGACTGACTGACGCGCCAAACTCGAGTAGGCGCAGGGAAAGTTGGCGCCGCCGGCCTGCGTTCTGCACACACCGCCTCCTCCTCTGACTCAGACACTCGCCAGGTGAGTTTCGTCTCCAGCTAACAACACTACAGGTGAGATGCACACAGCTTCGGCTATCCGCAACACTTACACATGCCCTGTATCTGATGTGATGCAAATGCATCAGTTGTATCGGAGATTTACCAGAACATCTGTGACCGGCACTTCAAACAAGGAACTGATTTCCAGTTACGCAATGAGTTTTGCAAGACCGTTCGTGATTTTTGCGGTGAGAAGGACGATAGGAAACTATGAAAGTGAAATGGCGCAAAAGCCCGATGTCATCTGTAGCAAAACCACCCAGTGCTCGGTTACGACATACAAGGACACGGTAGTAACATCAAAGGATGTCTGACAACGCTTGAGTGCTTTCCACTCTTATCAATGAAATATCTTGCCCACATCTGATACCATCAACCATGCACTCTCACATCAGAGTGCACGAACACGATCCATCACATCACGAGCATGGTCCTGATGAAATGGAGAAGCCGGCGGAAACAGTGCGCTCCGGAACCGCTCAAGCAGGACCTCTATCACGAGCAGCCGCTGTGAGCCGGTCGGACCGAGTTCCCGTCACGATCCGCGCTCCGTCCAGGCCTGTGTTGTCACCGGCGGTGTGACACATCACTTTCACCCGCCGTCGGTCGGCCGGTCGGCGGTCAGAGAAGCGCCTCTGGTCGGCGGGGTAGCCCCGATCTGTACAGCAGCTGATCGGGCAGATGGTACCCGCCGACCGGGGAGGGGCAAGGTCGCCGTTCACGTGGAGAGGCTAATTATGATCAGCTGGGGTTTGGTTTATCACCAACAGGTTTGCAGAGTGCTGGTTTGATGCAGACTTTTTCAGATGCAGATGTAGATTTTGATTGTATCTAGGTACTGCATAGTAACAGTGGCTTGTAACCGGTGGGAAATCTGTAGTGTGCGATTATATTGCCGATGTGAAGTTGAAGCAATTAAAACCTCGTCTCTGAAAGCGCACTACCAAGCCACGAAAATAAGCAGTGAAATAAGCCAGATGGCTAGATAAACGTCGTATTAGGCTGTTAGAGCTAAAGTGCATAATCCAACAAAATCTTAGGTGACTGGTAGACTGAATAACAATAAGGTCTGTGTTGCAGTATTCGAATAGGTAAACGCACAGAATAACAATGCATCGATGTTTAGAATCCAAGCACCAATTTCAAAATTACTTCGGTACATACACAAAAATGGAGACCAATAGAGAACCATGGCAAAAATGGAAACACTCGCATCACTTCCCTTTTTACTTATTATCTGCGCGTCCCGAAAGCTTGTGGAAAAATTTCATTTCTTTTTTGATAAAAGTAAAGCAATCATTGCATGACGCTGACATTTACCAACACAATGGATGACATCGAATGAAGTTAATAACCGTCCAAACTTCAATCAAAAATACTTCGTAAAAGTGTAAATACGTACACCATGCGAAAATCATAGGGGAGAGTGGGGAAAGATGCCCAGGGTTTTGCTTTGTCATATATTATTCGAAAATGACGATGGGAAAGCAAAAACTTGGAGTTTCAACGGAAGCCGACATCATTTTTCTCCAAAAATATCACACTTTCGTGCCTGAAATATTATAACATTTTTTGCTATTAAGCATTTTCCTGAAGAAGTGAAAGGGGCAGGGGCGCGGGAACTACTTTCCGACTGGGGGGGGGGGGGCACACCATAATAGAGATCAACCTAGGGTACCCCCAAATCTAGTTTTCTCACCGGTTTTAGGCCACTTATTTTTCACCCCTCGGCTTTTTCAACAAAAAAAGAAAACATTTGCAAAAAAAGTGTGGTATTCCGTCTCAAAGCTGTGGGGGCACCGCCCCCACGGCCCCAGAGTTGGGGGGGCAAGCTGCCCCCACTGCCCCCCCGGCTCCCGCGCCTATGGAAAGGGGGCATCTTACCCCACAGGGTGGGAAAGACGCCCCCTGACGTTGGGAAAGATGCCCCCCCCCCTGCACTATAAGTGACATAAATGGGCACGTGAATCGCCTGAACGAATCAGTAGGCCCTTCGGGCCTGCAGTAGACACCAAACGTCATCATAAGGGCCCTCAAAAGTAGTCGTAAGGGGCTTCAGAGGTCATCGTTAGGGCCATCATAGTCCAGCGCGGCCAAACAAGCCTCCGTGGTGGCGTTCGGAGACCACTGTGGGGCTCTAATAGGTCTTCATGATGCTTGAGGGCCCTCGAGCCCATCGTGGGGCTGGGGACCTCCGATACCAGCGCGGCCCGTGGGGCCAACGTGGAAGCCCTCAAAGGATGTCGTGAGGGGCCCTGGAGCCAATAATGGGGCCCACAGAGGCCGTCATGAGGGCTCTCAGAGTCAGATGCCGCCCAAAAAGTCGCTATGTGGGCCGAGAGACCGGCATGGGGAGCACCCGACCGTACTGGACTCTCAATAGTCCCAGATCGGCTTTTGTCTACATCACAAGTATGTAATAAATGATTTGACGGGCTGTTTGAAGGACAGCCTACGGATTTAGGGGGGGGGGGGCGTCTTTCCCCATCAGGACAGGGGGCATCTTACCCCAAGGTACCGAAGTAACATTAAATCAGTACAATTTGTTAGCCATAAAACTACACCCAGAAACAAACTGTTTGGGACACAGTGCACGCATGCTAATGTATCACGACTATAGCAAGGGACGCAAAAATTATTTACCTTCTTTGATATTTACAATGTTCTGACACCAAAATATTTTTTGAAAGCAGCAAATAAAAAACATGCAATCATCAGCCAGCCGTTGCCCAACTGAGCTTCGCAATTTTTTGGTGCAGTTAACAAGGCAGGCTTCCGCTTTACGCTAAGAACATTAATTTCCAGGTCCGATTCTTTGTTTCGCCGCTAGAGGGGGTGGGGCGTCTTTCCCACCCTGGGCATCTTACCCCACTCTCCTCTACGAACCTAATGATTGGCAAATCGCTCGAAACGATGAATGTCACCATGCTGCTGCCATAAAACATGCGACAGCTTGACATACACCATTGATATACAACTCATGTAGCAGATAAATCAAGTGAAACTTTTTTGTTTTGTTTTCTGGATCTGTCAAATCAGAAATGGCATCGTTCTGTTTATATACTGCAAGATCTATGTATATTCTGTTACATAATTATGTGACAGAGTTTATTGCTATTCTTATTGTTTATTCTATTCCTTTCAATTCTTTCTTACATACAGTGCAACGCTGTCATGTTTTGCAATGTGTATGAATCATCAAATTTGCTAAGCATTTCTGGCAATATCTAGCATTTAAAATATATTTGTCTTCTCTTGTCAGCCCCAAGCAACCAAATAACTTTAAGAAAAAAAAAACGCTTTACACCACTACAGCTGAGACAGCTGGGAAAGACCAGAGAACGTTCTCCAGAAACGCTTCCCCGAACGCGGCACCATAACACGCGCAGTGGGTGCGCGTCTGTCGCCGGTGCGTGGCTGACCTTGGGGTTTCCCTGTGTTCTGCCGGTGTGGGTCAGACCCTCTGTGACGTCACAGCCCCCGGGCCGGCCGGCGGGCGGACGTGCGGCCCGCGAGGTCTTACGCCACCTGAGCAGGGGACCCGGCCAGCCGGCCACTCTCCAGGATGTGCCCTGACCTTGACCCGGCCGGCCGGACCTCTGTCCACCTCCCTCCCTCCCTCCCTCCCTCTCCCTTCTCTTCCCGGGATCCGGCGTCCCGGGCACCCGGCCGACCGACCCGGAGATGCGGTTATGTACCCTGGGGCAGTCACAGGGCGGCAGCGGCAGCGTGGTGTGTCGAAATGTGCTGGCCGCGGACCGCGCGAGAAGCTGGTTACGAAGTAGTGTGGTAAACGGGGTGTTCGCGCCGCACAGCCGTAAAGCATGAAGCGGAAATCCTGAACGAAAGTGAACGCGACCCACGACACTGCCAAGCAATCGCAACGCTTGTTATGTATGGTTTCAGCATGACTGGGTACACGTCCAACGTAAAATCGAAACAGTTGTGTAAATATCAGCGCATAGCTTGGTTCTTCTGCTGCTAAACCTTACAGATACTCAGTTGTTACTGCCATTGGTTTATTTTGCTCTTAGTTCTTACTTTAGTGGAATATGACCTGTTCAAGGTGTATATGTAGAGTTGGAGTGTTTACATGGCCCATGGGTTGCTTCTGTTTCAGATATGAAGCCAAGAAGATTGATACAGTGTGCGATTGGCATTTTGCTGCTCACTGTCTGCTCAACCGCCTCGGCAGAAAAAGATGCCGCCTCAACAGGTATGCACCTGCAACCCTACAGAGCGAGACACAGATGCGATCGCCTCTAGCCGCTCACGTCCTATGTCACCAACGGTCTTCACTTTTAGTAGGTCACGTCATGCATGTTTCCCGTTGTTCAGGGTTGGTGAATAATTCATAATGGGAAACAACTTTGACCAGTGACTCTGGGACCGAAGAACAGCGTACGTTTATAATGCAGTACCGAAAACATTCCAGAAAAATTTAAGAATGATTAATCCATCCATTAACCCGCGCCCCGTTTGGCTCTGCCGAGCAACGCGCCCCGTTGGGGGGGGGGGGGGCTATTTTGCTCCCACCCCTAAGATCTCAAGAACCACGCAACCTAGCGACAAGCGGCAAACGGTGTTGGATAGCCCTATCAGGGAACTACCTTGTGACCCAATTTTATTGACCTAGGTCAAACCGATGACGTCACAGGTCAGGTCAAAGGTCCAATTTTCACCGTTTACAGGCATTTCAAGAAATGCGTTGTAAAATCGAGTAAAATGCATTTCATAGAAAATCATCGATGGGGAAATGTTCTTCAAACACATATTTTGCTATTTGAGGTCACTGATACCAGGTCAGGTCACAGAGGTCAGGTCACTGGGGGGTCACAATATGAAAGTGTCGTGTGATACATGTTTTATGGTCCATTTTACATGACAAATGCGATTATGTGGGTCAGACAGCCTTTGGGGCCAGCTTAGGTCACGTTTTGGTCAAGGTCAGGTCAAGGTCAGGTCAAGGTCAGGTCAAATTAGGTCAAATTTCAAAGTTGATATTTTTGCATAAAATGGGTATTGAATCGATGCAGCTCGTCACGGGGAGTTCAATGGTGGTCTTTGTTTTGCCGTACGTGGTCTAGAATCGCTAAAAATTGAGTTCAAAATTTGACGTCATCATTTTTGAACAGTTTTTTCGCTATAACTTGGCCAAAAAACAGGATATCGATCTGAAATTTGGTATGTATATAGAAGAGCGCAGGGACTATCACATATATTCCGGTTTTTTCGAAATTCGGAAAGTTGTTTGTTTGTTTTTAGTTTTTCTAAAAAAATATTTTTTTTGAATTTTTGAGGGTCAAAAACCCAAAATTTTGAAAATCCGAGATAACAGTGTTGTAGCGCCGCTTTTTGTCTACCAGACCATATAAAAAACTTTGAAATTGCTTGATAACTGTAGATTTGGTGAGCGTTTCAAGATTGCATGTTTTTTGCTCATTTTTGCACAAACATGACCTCAGTTTGACCTCAATAACTCCTGACCTAAGGTTACCTAAGACTTGAAATTTGGTGTGAAGGTGTCAAATTGATGCCCGGGAAGGTACTGAAAATTTGGCAGCGCTGCGCAACGCCGTTTTCTTGCTATTCAGGAAAAACCACAGGGGGGAACAAAATGGCCCCCCAACGGGGCGAGAAAACAAAACTTTAGTCGGGGCATTCCACGCCAAATCAAACACCGAAATCCGTCATCCCCTTCGATTTTTCTCAAAATTTGTAGGCAGACTGGGCATGGTTCAAAACTGAGTAACGTATAATATTTTCGAAATTTGATAACGTATCGCTGAGATATAGGTCATCGAATATAGCGAAAAATGCCACACATCAATTTTTTTAAATGGCTATAACTCTGGTTCCTTTTCTGGTATCAAAATGATATTAACAGGGTCTTATAGGCAATTGATAAGGCTTTGATTTTTAATTATAAAATTAAATTGAAGTGACCTTGAAATGCATTTGACCTTGAATTAAAACAGAAAAATTTAAATAGGAAAAAACACGTCACCTTCGATTTGGTTAATTTTTACATATTATGTCCGTCACAATGTTCCTAACCATCTGTGAAAAAAATGGAGTGGGCCATTCATAACTTTCGCGGCAAACGCCGTTTTCATGCAACAACATCACGCAACCGCGCGTGACCTTGAAAGACAGAGTCAAGACATGCTTGCTTGTGTACACTTTCTGAAATGAATGATTGCTGATTAGTGATATCCTAAACTCTGCGAGAATGGAAATGCATAGTCATCGTAGTCAAGCATTCACGTTCCATAGTAAAAGTGTCTCAGGCAAACGGTATTTTGCGGTGAATTTTGAGCCGTGTGGAAATGCATCATGATGTAAATTCAACGAAAACATTATCACGCAACGATATCTTCACGTCTTTTGATCTTCACGATACGAAAGAACATACATTTTTTTTAGTATGTATGGGGAGTTTCTAGTTAATCCAATAATAAATATGGCAGTTAGAGGCCTGCTAAGAGTAACATGTCGCCGGCTGAGGCGGGCTCGGCCGATGCGGGAAACGCAGCAATCACAATTTTGTGTTTACACGTTCATATTTCAATTGTTTACCCAACGATTTTCAAAATTCTTTCACCATAAGATTGCCTGTACAATTCTTAGTCTTCTCACAAAATTTGACGCGAATCGAACGTAATCAGCGGTAGGGAGCGCGATGTAAAGACGGAACCGTTCCGTTCCGTCCCGGCACAGTCTACAATTCAGGCGGCGCGTAGCGGTCGGCGCCGGCTGCCGAGTCGCCGCGTCGCTGCGGCGACAGGATGTTCACTTTACACCGCTATTACTAGAACAGTTGTGAACCGATTTTCTTATTGCTTGCACGATGAGATGTCCAATTCAATTCTTGACAGGTAGCCATAATTAATTTCGCATTAATCTTATGAGATATTGGCGAAAAATAGGACGGGTGGGCGAAATTCGCTCTTCCCCCTCCACTGCGCGTGCTAACATACGTTTGCATATGTGCAATTTTCTTCAAAACTTATGAATGGCCCACTCTAATTTTTTCACAGGTTGTTAAGAATATGGTAGGCAATAAAATATATGAAAATGAGCCAAATCGAAGGTGACGTGTTTTTTGCTATTTCAATATTTGTGCTTAAGAACAGAGTTAAGCAAATTTCAAGGTCATATATTTAAGTAGGTGCAATTCTAAACAAATGCTTAAGAAATTACCTAAACAGTAAGGTTTATTTCATTCAAATCAAACAAGTACAACCAAAGTTATGGTCGTTCAAAAATATAAAGATGCAACATTTTGTAAAAATTTGATGCCCTATATTTAGAGGACCTGTGGTCAGAATGTGCAAAAAACATCAATGTAATGTCCGGGGCCACACAGGAACGCGCTCACAAATTTATAATGAAATCGCTGATGGTAAGGTGCAAAACAGCCGATTTTTGTTCGATTTGACGTGGAATGCCCCAGTCTTACCATGGCATAACCTTTTCCTGAGACCACATTTCCGTGTTTACAGACTCGGACTCGGGAGGTCGCGACAGGTCGGGGGACTCGCGCGGCCTCTTCAAGGAGCTGGTGAAGGGCGCCCTGGTGCTGGCCGGTAACAGCGTGCTGGGCCCGAACGTGACCAGCGCGCTGCGGCCGCTGGCCAGCCCGCTGGTGGACCGACTGCTGCCGGAGGACGGCCTGGGCGGCCTGGGCGGGCCGTCCCAGCCGCTAGACCCCGCGTTCGGCCAGCAGTCGGGGGCTGCTGCCGCGACGGCCGTCCAGCCGGTGGCGCAGACGGCGGCGGCCCAGCAGAACAGCGGCCAGCCGGCGCCCAGCTGCACCACGCCCCAGCTGACCAGCGGAGAGTGCCGAGACCTCAGCGCCTGTCCGCAGATGCTGCTCGACCTGGGCAACCTGCGCAACAGCATCTGCTTCCAGTCGCTCTTCGTGCCCGGCGTCTGCTGTCCCAGGTGAGGGGAGCGCCGAGCGCCACTAGGTACCTGCAGGCTGCAGGCTGGATGATTGACTAACGGCTAGCCATTTGGTATTTGCAATGTGTATTGTGCAATGGTGGTCTGTCGTTTCCCATTATTCACATCATTTTCGCCATCCTCTGAGGTAAATCAATATGAAAACACATTCAATATTAAATTTGTATTTTATGTTAACCCGGCAGTTGCTGGGGTATTTCGCCACCCACCGTTTGCTGGGGGGGGGGGGCGTTAAACGCCCCCAGCCGATAACTCGAGAACCAATAGGCGCAGCGAAACGCACGAGGCGGCAAACGAAAGAACGCGACGAGACGCTTCAGATGGGTACTTAAAAGTTGAATTTTGAGGTCACAGGTCAGGTCAAGGTCAGGTCAAACACCTGAAATCGGGCTTTCAGTAGCATGGACTTCAGGACTTCGCAAAGGGCGCCTCTCGTCATAAACTCTGTCAAAACGGTGCACAATCCATCATATAAGGCCTACAAGAGTATCAGCTTCATGTAGGGGTCAGTCAAGCATAGGTCAGGGTCAAGGTCAGGTCAACCGGGCAGGCACATATTCCCGAAAATCAAAACTGATATTCGCAGCCTGTGACACATGTTTTATGAGTAATTTGGGGCGTAGAACACGATGGTGACATTCATTTTACCATATGTGTACGTGTTTGGCTAAAAAAGTTCAATTTAAGAAATGCATGTATCATGGTCGTGAAGTAGTCACGAGAAATTGCCAAGATTCACTTCAAGATTTTGGAAAATGCGGAACGATAATCAACAATCGAAGATAGCGATTTGATTGTTCATGGTATTGGCAGTCTAATGGCGTTTACGGCATGTCTGTATGTCTATTCTGTGATTTTATATGATTTTTTGAACATATGCCGTTTTTGGTCGAAAACTCAGAAATCATGACGTCACTAAAACCTCGATAGTTCAAAAATTTTCCGACCGATTTTTTTTGAAACTTTGTCACAATAAGCTTCAATCAATTCCCTACAGGTACCCAAAATTTTACGTGCCTGCGGCGCGCCGTTTTTATGCTATGGCCCGGCGAAAAAAGTGGGGGCGTTTAACGCCCCCCCCCCCAGCAACTCGCGGGTTAAAGGCAATATTACGTCACTGTATACTGTATAGTGTATACATCAAAAGTCAATGAATGTTAAGCGGAAGGTATACAAAAATATAATCACAGCACGCGACCCAACCAAACGAGCATGATAGCGCTGCTTTGCATAGCACGTGCAGCTCATTGCCTTCGTTTACCAGCCATAACATCCTGATTGCTCGTTCACGCCCACTGACGGAGATCCACCTCCCTTCCAGCTCGGGCTCATCGTCCAGCGGCGTCCAGACAGCGGTGGCGCAGCGGCCGGTCCGGCCTGCTCCGGTGCCCACCCGGCCCTCGTTCGGCGGCTCTCTGGGCCAGGGTCTGGGCCAGGGCCTGGGCCAGGGCCTGGGCCCGCAGAGGCCCCAGAGGCCGCAGCCGCCGCGGCCGCTGCCCCCGATCGCCGGCCGGCCCCCGCCGGTGTCCCGTCCGCCACCCGTCAGCATCCCCGGCGTACCGGTCACACCACAGCGGCGCTTCCGTGAGTACGCCGGCCGGCTGAGGGCTCTGTTTATGATTCACTTATGTGAATTTTACTACCTATAACACGTCTACTGTGAGTACCTACTGCTGGTTCATAAGTAGAAGGAACTTGTTAGTTTTCGTGTACGTACGTGCATTCTTACACATACCATGAATTTAGGCTAATATTTTTGTTTCAAGTCCACAAACGACAAAACAGTGCAATTCAAATCTTTATATCTATATAAGATTTGCGAAATATAGATATAAAGATTTGAATTGCACTGTTTTGTCGTTTGTGGACTTGAAACAATGTCTTCTTACCAACAATTTGGCTAATATACATATACCAGAATCAATATGGCAGACATCCCCTGTTTGTGTTATAGGTACCTTTTCATTTCAGTGAGGCAGAGTATGCGTGTACTGCGGTGCAATATATCAATTGGGCGTGTAATGTGTATTGCGGTGCAGTCTACCTGTCAGGCGCGCATGTGTAATGCGGCATAGTCTACCTAGCAGGTGTGTAGTGCGGTACAGTCTATATAGCAGGTGTGTGAAGTGCGGTACAGTCTACCTATTGTCTGTGTATTGCGGTGCAGTCTACACCCGTTGTCTGTGTATTGCAGTGCAGTCTGCTCGCTGTCTGTGTATTGCGGCACAGTCTACCCGTCGGGCGGCTGCATGGTGTGAATTGCCGTGCCATCTGCCCATTGTGGTTGTGATGTGTATTGCGGTGCAGTCTACCCGTTGTCTGTGTATTGCGGCACAGTCCCGTTGGGCGGCTGGTGTGTATTGCGGCACAGTCTACCCGTTGGGCGTCTGATGTATATTGCGGTGCAGTCTACCCGTTAGGCGGCTGGTGTGTATTGCGGTGCAGTCTACCCATTGTCTGTGTATTGCGGCACAGTCTACCCGTTGGGCCGCTGGTGTGTATTGCGGTGCAGTCTACCCGTTAGGCGGCTGGTGTGTATTGCGGCGCAGTCTACCCGTTGTCTGTTTATTGCAGCACAATCTACCTCTGCGATGATCAGCTAGCAGTCTGTGCCACCTGTTCCGATGGTCTCGCCCGTTAGCTCTGATGGAAGATAATGTAGAATCTCTCATTGGTTTGAGGGCAGTATTATCCTGCTTTCATGCAATTACGCGTATTTGTTACGGATCAACTTTTAAATAAGGGCGGCTTTCGGCCAGTCAATAAAAACGGCTGTTCCAGAGTAATAATGAATGATTTCACTAGTTAAATCCTCCTGAACACGTGACTCCAAAACATGGCATAGCTTTCAAAATCCATGTTTTATGGCCAGTCTAACAACATCCAACCTGACCTCTGTTTCGGTCTGCGGAGTTCCCCAGGAGCCACAGCCCCGTGTCTTACTGTTGGGTTATCACTGACCTGACCTTCCCCTACCCTGACCTCTGCTCCCAGCCTGCGGAGTGCCGCAGTCCCCCCAGTTCCGTGTGGTGGTGTATCACTGACCTGACCTGCCCCCGCCCCCAGCCTGCGGAGTGCCGCAGTCCCCCCAGTTCCGTGTGGTGGTGTATCACTGACCTGACCTGCCCCCTGCCCCCAGCCTGCGGAGTGCCGCAGTCCCCCCAGTTCCGTGTGGTGGTGTATCACTGACCTGACCTGACCTCTGCCCCCTCCCCCCAGCCTGCGGAGTACCGCAGTCTCCCCAGTTCCGTGTGGTGGGGTATAACTGACCTGACCTGCCCCCGCCCCCAGCCTGCGGAGTGCCGCAGTCTCCCCAGTTCCGTGTGGTGGTGCATATCACTGACTGACCTGACCTGACCTGCCCCCGCCCCCAGCCTGCGGAGTGCCGCAGTCCCCCCAGTTCCGTGTGGTGGTGTACCACTGACCTGACCTGACCCATCCCCCAGCCTGCGGAGTGCCGCAGTACCCCAGTTCCGTGTGGTGGGGCACCACTGACCTACCTGCCCCGCCCCCAGCCTGCGGAGTGCCGCAGTCCCCCCAGTTCCGTGTGGTGGGAGGCGACGTGTCCCGTCCGGGCCAGTGGCCCTGGATGGCCGCCATCTACCTGCACGGAAAGGGTCGCAAGGAGTACTGGTGTGGCGGCTCACTCATCTCCAGCCAGTACATCATGACGGCCGCCCACTGCACCAAGGACTCCAAGGGAAAGAGGTCAGTGACAACTCGTGTCAAATTAACATAACACGACCTACATATTCGTTCTGCGTTACATCTTTTTCGGTGCAATTAAAAAGACATTTGAAAAAAAAACGGAACAATTAATTTGATTGAAGCGCTATTACCTTCATTTACCCGGTTGATCAATAAATTAGCTTTGCTATTTATTGTGAAACATCATTACATATTTTTTGACTTTCTAGTAATTTTATAGGGTTCGAGTGATTTTGCTCGCTTCACCAGCCCGTTCAATCCATTGCGCGGCATTGCTCCGTCTCCCCTGGCGCGCTGGCCGCGGGTTCCCAGCGTCTGTCTGACGGCGTCTCCGCGCGTGTTTCAGCTTCCACCCGCGTCAGTTCACCGTCCGCCTGGGCGACACGGACCTCTCCACACAATCGGAGGCCTCGGCCACTGTCACGTACCGCGTGTCCGAGTACACGGCACACCCCGACTTCAAGGTGAGGTCACGACCCGCCCCTACCGCGCACAGTCCGGCTCGACACGGCACCGCACAGTGGGACCTCCCGGGCCGCAGCGCAGGAAACAATGGCGGGACAAACGGGTGATGACGTGCGGCAGCGGCGTCACGCATGGGGGTATCGTCTGAATGTGCTCGAAGAAGCTCTTTCATGGAGGTTAAGGTCACAGTGGCACACTTACTGAGATCAGGTTGTGTTGGGAAACACCATACGTCGTTATTCCTAAGCTGCCGAGCCCTAATCCTTTGATCCCTGGGACCTGTTGTCGAGTAATTTATCCGTCATGAAATGTCTCGAATGATTCAGTATAAAGGGCTGTATCTGACTACATATTGCGACGTAGTCTATTTTATATGATCCGAACCGGGATTCATCTGCAGCGAAATCACTCGGGCGAACATTACATGATACAGTTTTAAACTGTTGTGCGGTCGTGAGCCACTTCGTTTTCTAGTTTTAGTACCCTGACGCCCTATTCTCCGTTTCCAGTTGAACGGCTACTACAACGACATAGCTCTGTTCAAGCTGGACCGGCCGGTGGACTTTAATGAGTTCACCATCCCCATCTGCCTGCCGGAGGAGTACGAGGGCGCCGCGCTCGACTCGCTGGTCGGCAGGACGTCCCACGTCATCGGCTGGGGTGTCACCACATACGGTGAGCTGGCGGGGCGTCACCGGGCGTCATCGGATGACACTTCCATAGTAGGATGGACGGTTAATGTTTCTGCCGCAAGTGACGTAATCAGGCAGTCAAAACTGCTTTACTATTAGTTTCACTAAGTAAAAACTTAATCATCAAAAATTATTCAACACTTTTTCTCCTTCGGTTATTGTCGCAATAAGTTTCCAAATGCAACCTTGCCGGGGACGTATTATTGTTTCTGTGGTTCGCGATATTACAAAATGAAGCGCTGCGGACCACGACCCTCGGTCATCTGCTGAGTTGCGACACGGGTCACCCCTGTAACGACGGCTCCAGAGCCATCCAGTGAAATATTTCCCCGGTGAAAGGGAGCCTTTCGGTTTGGACTGACGGGTCTCAGACGTCGACCTTGAACCGTCACTGGTCCTCCCGGCATACCGGCCCGGCCACCGCACCGACACGCGCTCAGTGACAACAACAACATCTCACATCTCGCTGAGATAACCAAATGTAAATGAGCTTGAGCCAAGAGAAAGGACGAATTGCCACATCATTGACTGAACTCTTGGTATCCAAAGAAGCAAGCAATAAGCGATGTCGTTGCAAATGATTATTGAGTGGCTTAAATCCGGTAACGACTGACGCATGACTGCTCGGGCTATTCCAGGCGGTAAGGAGTCGCCTCAGCTGCGCAGTGCAGAGCTGCCCATCTGGACCCAGCAGAGCTGCGACGAGGCCTACTTCCAGCCCATCCAAGAGATGTTCATCTGCGCGGGCTACGACGACGGCAGGAAGGACGCCTGCCAGGTGAGCCGCTGATACATCCTCACAATCCTGGGCTGGGCTCAGCGAGCAGTCAGGGATCCAGACGAGCAGATCCAGACGCGAGCAGATCCAGACGAATATTTGTCGAAAAGGGAACGAGGAAAAGTAAATCTGCACAAGGTCTTAGATGCACTCAGGTTCTTTTCAATTGTTTGTGTAGCAGTTCGGCTGTCATTTTATTTATAAGGTGTCATCATTCTCCACTTAGAAGCACGCTATTCATGTATCGCAGCGTGTCGAATTGGGTCATAAAAGCCCTGTCTCTATTCATGTGTTGTCCGAGTACCCACCGGCCGCTGACTATAGTGTACCCGGCCCCCGATAGGGCGACTCTGGCGGCCCCCTCGTCTACTACGAGCGCGGACGCTACATGCAGCTGGGCATCGTCTCCTTCGGAAACCGGTGCGCCCAGGCCGGCTACCCAGGCGTCTATACGCGAGTCACCAACTTTTTGCCCTGGATCCGACAGAACCTCCGGGTGTGATCGTGTGGGGTCGTAGGACCTCCGAGTGTGACCAGGCGGACGATAGGACCTCCTAGTTAGTGTCACCAGGTGAACCCTTGGACCTTCGAGTGTGACTGAGAAGGACCACAGGACCTCCAGGTCGAACCGGACGGGACCACAGGACCTCAGAGACTGACAGGGATCGGCGGCCGATGGCCAGTCGCGGTCGATACAACAGTGTACCACTGGCTGAGGGACTTTGCGCGGCGCCTGCGCCGAATGCGACCGACTTCTGCTGGCTAAAGACGTCTGTGTGCAGTGAAAGGGTTAGTGACTCATGCCTGCGTATTTACTCAACCGCTAGTGCCGCTGGATGTCGATAAATTTCGACAAGGACTTGTAGAAGACTTCGAGCTGTGACTGTCATCAGTGCGACCTCAAGTTTGCAGCCGGGTGGTTTTCGTCTTCCATGCGCATCCCGTGAGTTCAGGTTCCGAACTCATCACTCATGACCCTGACCTTGTCGGATCGCGGTCAGGTCGTGCTCACTGTGCAGCGCGGCTCAGCAGGGAAGGGGAGGTGCAGGACAGAAAGTGTCTCCTCAACTGAAAAACGGTCGGCCGACGAGTGAGTGTTCGATCGAGCCGGCGAGCGAGACGGTCGATCGCGCCTCAATCGCGATTCGCTGTTGCCACTTGCCACCGCCGCCGCCGCTACCGCCGCCGCCGGCCGGCCTCAGTGAAAGTGCTGCTCGTTGCCCGTGGGTCCTCCGGCCGGGCCGTGCGCGGCTCGCTGGCACGGCCCGGCCACGGCGCAGCTTGTGCCGGCCTCCCGGGCCGCCGGCGGCCTCCCAGCGAAACAGAAAGCCGCCCAGGCGTGGGCGACCGCGGGCGGACGTCACACACCACACTGACGTGCGAATCGCTCGCCGCTCGAGAGGTGCTCGGCGCCTTAAGTGAAACTGTTTTTTATGCTTTTGGTGATGTCTGAGCATTAAGTGACACAGCCACGTTGCTAATGTTTTAAATGTTATAAAATGTGGATTTTGCGAGTGTTTGCTGTTTGCGGTAACAATCAGGGTCGCAATGCCATGTGTATGTTGTTTGGCATCATATGCTCATTACCCAGTAGCTAACATGCGTCCCAAGGTACTCAATTGTTACCGATCATTTGACATGTAAAACACGTTAAATAAACGACGTGACTGATACTTTGAAAGTCTCTTATAATATGCCATTTTAAAGGCAATACTATCGGTGTGATATTCTATTTCGTTTTCCATAGACCATAAGGAAGGACAATAGGCAAGCTGAAATACATAAATTAGAAAAAGGAAAACTGCCATTCTTGGTGTGTTCAGTGTTCCTCACCTTCTTGCTGCAAGGATTCGGTTTTGTTCGGTATTTCACGTAACCTTACTCTCGTGAGCTGTCCTCACACGTACTTTTGACATTTATTTTCACATGATCGATTTGTTTTCCTTCAAATCATTTCATCCTCGCTGGCTTGCATTCAGCGATAACAAATACTTACGTTTTATTGAGCCTTTATTATCTAAAGCTAGGGCTAGTTAAGCAACACCAAACTGCTGGTGTACCAAGAGACAGAAACAAAGGGTGATGTATTGAAAGTGTGACCCCGCTACGACGAACGGTGCCAAAATCACACAACTTCCTGGGGGATCCGACAAATCCGGGGTCTTAGCAGGCTCCTCCCTCGACAATGTGCAGATGTCGATGTTTGCGAGCTTGACTGCTTACTGTTTACTGTGCGACGATTACACCTTAGCTGTTACAGGCGGAATTCGGCTGAAGGCGAGAGATATTCATCACGCATACAATAGCGCTAGTTGACATGAAATAGCATCATTAGAGTGCCTAACAAAGCGTTCCTAATATCTTGAAATAATTTATTTCCCAAATAAAACACCGATTAATCACGGTTAAAGCTTAACGGCGCACAGAGCACGGGAAACATTAACGAAAAATGTTTCTGATAACAAGACAATATTTTTGTGCCTACCTACTACATAAATTTCTGATCAGTTTGACTGTTTGATTACGTGCGAACAAATGAGTATGCATGCTACCACTGAAAAAAGCAAAGAGCATGGCAGTCGTCAGTGCAGATAATTCCGTTATCTCAGCGGCTTAGGGGACGCCCCGTTCACTGGTGGAAGCGAGTTTTCGGCTGAAGACTTTCGGCTGGCCGCGGACTGCCCGGGAGGTGCCAGCGGCTCGTCTGTCGTGCCTGGCGACTTTCCACCCGGCGCTGGGGATTTCCTGTCCTTTTCTGAAGATTTTGCGCCCGGTGTTGGAGATTTTCCTCCGGAGGATGGCGAATTTCTAGAGCGCGACGGAGATCTAGAAGGTGTCTTTTTCCCGTTTGGTGGTGTTGGACTCTGTAACACAGAGCTATTATCAAGGTCCACCACTTTTCTCCGACATTCCCTCCTGCTGTCCTCACATTCACCAGCTATACCTACCTACCAACCAGCCTTTAACCGATTATTCCAAGTAATTCATGGAAAAAATTATGTCACAAAAACAGCAATTATTGATGACGTTATACCTTATCCTGGTTTTTATCCCAATCAATCACAACCTGTTGATCGAACAAGAATGTTTCATTCAAAGACATTACAAATTTTATTTAAATAAAGCATGTTACCAGGTTCGTTTAGACGACAAACTTGGGTACGCTAAATGCTCACGATTAATGGCGATGTTTATTAATTAACTTTCACTACTACTGCCCCACCACGCACCAGTATTCTTATTTTATAATCTATGCATTCATGTGCCGCTTTCCCATTTAACACGCGCACTGCAGGGGGGGGTTGTTTTCAACCCCCCTCTGTTTTTTTTTTCGCTGTAACTCAAAAACCAGTGAAGCTACGACTTTGAAACTTTGAATAGCTGTTCATCAAACGATTTTACATCACCTCTCAAAAAATTAGTGTTAGGTCATGCAAGGTCAGGTCACCAGGTCACGATAAGTGACCTCACCTCATAAAAAATTTGACGCTGTGCTACATCCACACCATTTGACTTAATGCTATGAAACTTTCAGAAACATATTATGAGACCATAAGGAACATTTAGAATATTTCGAAATTTTCATTTCTGTGACCTTAGGTAAGGTCACTTTTTGGGGCCCGGCATGCAATTCAACGGTCACCAACGGTTTTTCTTCAATAACTTTTAATTGAATAGAGATAGAGACTCCGTTCGACGTTTATCGTGTTTGTCTCGTCAAGGCGGATCGAATGATATGCAACATGACCTATTTCGGTCAGGTCATGACCTTGACCTGAGGTCAACTTTTGAACTTGACCTTTCGAGGTCATATTATATAACATTCGATGCGCCTTGACGAGCTAAGAACGATGGTGTGTGAATTATTTCTCTATCTCTTTGGGAAGAAAAGTTATTGCAGAAAAAGCATTTCCGGAAAATTTGCAATATTGATCTGACATTACATGACCTCTGTAGGCTGAACCGTTGACCATAGGTCAAATCTGAGGACAGCTTAGCGAAAGAGCGTTTCAACAGCTATCGAATGCTTTTCTCGCCACTTTCTAGCTCATCTAGTTCCCGAGATAAAGCGGGAAATATGGAGGGATGTCGAGATCGCTAAAAAATCGCAACATTTTGAGTTTGGTGACCTCTGCTGACCTCGTTTTTGACCTGACCCAAAAATGATCTTAGTATTTCTTGTAGATCTCATCACAAACTATCCAACGCCGTTTACCGCTTGTCGCTACGTTGCGCCGTTTTTTAGATCTAAGGGGGGTTGTTTTCAATTCCCCCCCCCCCTGCAGTTCGTGTTCGGCTCAGACCCGCTGCAGTGCGCGTGTTAATTCGCCCGTTCCTGATTTACAATGTGCCTAATCATTATGATGCGGCACAATCCACCACAGAGACCAGGCTGATCAGACGAAGTTATCTTACGGTATCGCCGCTACCCTTTAGGGAGCCAGAGTTGGAGCCAGCACCGGTGCCAGTGGCAGGCTCAGCGCCGGTGTTGGTTCCGGGCTCAGCGCCGGGGTTGGTGCCGGAGCCGGGCTTGGAGTCAGTGCCGGGTTTGGAGCCGGGCTCTGCCCCGGGACCGGATCCCTCGGTGCCTGGTCCAGTGCCGGGTCTGGAGCCGGGCTCTGTGCCGGGACCGGATCCCTCAGTGACGGGTGTGGTGCCCTTGTCGGGCTCAGAGTTAGGCTCAGTGCCGGGCTGAGTGTTGGGGGCACCGGATCCCTCAGTGCCTGGCCCAGTGACAGGCTCTGTGTCGGGCTGAGCGCCAGTGCCGTTGCCTGGCTCAGCGCCGGTCTCGGTGCCCGGCTTAGAGTCCGGCTCGGTGCCCTGCTCAGTGCCAGGTTCGGCACCGTTGCCGGGCTCTGTGCCGGCCTCTGAGCCGGTGCCGGCCTCGGAGCCGGAGCCGGGGTCGGACGGCCGGGACCCGAGCCGCCGGGACCGGCCGTCGGTCGACGCAGAGCGCATCTGACGCAGGTAGGCGGTGTCTTCAAAGATGCGCCGGTCGCCGCCGGTCGGACGATGGCCGACGTTGTCCAGTGAGCCCACCTTGCTGGAGACGGACGACAGGTGCACTCGCTGGGAGGTCACCTGCGACGGCGGCGCCCCGGGCGTCACCGGGCGTCACCAGGGGTCACCGGGGGTCACCGGGTGGGTCACCGGGCGTCACCGGGCGTCACCGGGTGGGTCACCGGGCGGGTCACCGGGTGGGTCACACGGCAGGGGCAGCGCCCCGGCACTGTAGGTGTCCGCTGTAGTGGCGGTGTGTGTCTGTGCAGGTCTGGTAGGCTTCTTCGGTACTGTTTTGTCTGGCTTTGCCGGTTGATACGAGCATGTGTGCTGCATGAGAGGTGTAAAGAACTAATGTGAAGCATGTAGTGTTGAGGTGACTGAAACCAGACTCCTGTGAGCTGTTGTGCTACTTTGTCAGTGTTGTCAAGTCCATTCAATCACGCACACAGGTAAACGTGTAACATGCAGCTGGGATGCAATCCGGGGACATGCCTGACGATCACGTTCACATCCAAGCCGTGTGGTGCCACGAGAAGCTGGATGTTTCGGGGAGCAGCAGACGGACATGCAGCACGGCACACCCGGCCTCTGGCAGAGCTGAGCGGGTGCGGGGAGAGCCGATACCACAGGTAACTGCGTGCAGAGCGGACACTTACATTGCTGCGACTCTGACTGCGGGACCGAGGAGAGACACCCAGCAGCTGAGCAAGGCGCAAAGGATCAGTCACATTACATTCACAGGACAAACACACACACAAACACAGATAGGAACGGGGAGACATCCCGAGCAGCTGAGCAGGGCGCAAAGGTCGGTCACAGCACATTGACAGGACATATATACGCAGAGCCGGGCGAGTCAGATGTCGGCAAAAAGCGATGGCACTCTGAGCGTCATAAGCCAAACACATACCTGAGACAAGTTATCAGCGCTGAGAGAAGCCCGGCACGGCAGTAAGCTGTTAGCTGCATGCCAGCTAATTAGCCAATTAGCAATGCTTACAGTCTAGCTACGAGCGTCATAAAATAAGCACGCTTGGCCCTATATTGTATTCAGAGCTATAAAAAAACCACCTGCCCATTTTTTCTCCAGCATTGCTACTTAGCATATGCTGCAAGTGCATATGCACGTTTTGAAGAGAACATAAGCCATGCAACTCAACGTCAATGTTAAATGCGGAGACGTATCTGTTTTGAATACATCGAAGTGTGCAGTAACATGTCTACATACTGCCTAGTATAATGGTTGTAATGGTGTTTGAATTGTATGTGCTGTGTAATGTATGCATACCTAGGCCCTAGTATGATACAATCCCCAACCCAACACAGACATACATACACCGGACTGCAGGTCGCACATCGGATGGGAAGAAGTTTCGAGAAAAAAAAAACGCTGAGAAGAAATGAGAAAGCCTATGCAATACCCGTGGATAAAAATGCACACATAATTTGTCAATGAAGACATAATGATTTAATAGCACAAGGAAGAGAAAGTTATCAATTGCCAGCAGCCCAACATTTCTTACTTGACAGTATTAACTACAGATTACTTTCAGCAACTTTTCGTCGAATATCAACGTTTATCAAACATGTGAACATGTGCGCGATGACATTTAAAACATAGAGATGAAGCGCTCATTGCGCAGGGAATCCTCGTCCGACCGAGCACCACGGATTATCTGCGAGTTGCACATCAGCTCTGAAATGCCACTGAATATCCTAGCTGTGAGCAGCCGACCGGACCAGTTTGGCAATGTCTGTGTGAAGTAACGCTGCCGTGCAGTCGGGCGCGCTCTCTCGCGTGCACGGCACGGCACCGCGGTGACCTACCTTGACGTCGCCGCCGCCAGGCTTGTGGTGAATGTTGGCCTTTGAGCCGACCTTCGAGGCCGCCTGGCGCTTGAAGTCGAGCTTCTGCGACTCCACCTGGACATTGCCCCCGCCCGGCTTGTACTTGGTGTTAGCCAGGGAGCCCACCTTCGGCTGGCCCTTCCACTCCAGCTTCTGCAGAACGATCTGTGACAGACCGCAGGCCGGTGAATACGGCAACAAGAACGGAAGATGATGGCTCGATTCGAAAAGAATATGTGAGACTTAGTCCGCTGAGCCAAATGTCATTTGACACCACAGGAAGCTAACAGATACCAGCATCTGTAACAGATATTGAAGATTTCGCCAGGAGCCATCCAAAGTATTTTGTCAGGAGCAGACAAGTTGCGTCCTTTGACACTTCCCTCGTCGGCTGTTCTCAGGTGTCTGACCTTTTTGTTGCCGCCGCCGGGCCGGTAGTCGGAGCGCGCCTGAACGCGTGGCGCCGCCTTGCTCACGTCCACCTTGTGGTGTTCGATCTTCACGGCGCCGCCGCCGGGCCGGTAGCCGGTGTTGGCCAGGGAGCCGATCCGCGACTGGACGGCGCTCAGGTTCGGTGGCGGAGCCGTCCCCACCTGCACCTTGTTCATCGGCAGCTCTGGAGCAATACGCAGGGGCACGTCAGGGAGAGGGAGACTGGTCACGGTTTGTGATACTGCCCCGTTTCGGTACCAGCGGCCGATTTCATAAAGGGGACGGCTGATGCAACAACACATTTTGGCTGCATTTTACGCCAAAATGGGTTCATAAAGCAATTGCAGTTGTAACCATGTGTGATGATGTTAGTAACGATGGTTTAAGTGGCGGATGTGGTAGAATACAGTCCAAAACAAACGAACAAATACAGCCGTGAGCCGACTCATAGTAAGCCCTCCGTTCCTAATAAAATCACCCACTTTTAGAGGGAGTAGTTTTTAGGACGTAAAATACACCAGTTGATGTAAAATACTACCAGTAAAACGCCTTTTGGGCGAAGAACGAGCGAGCGAGATAGTGAGCCCTGCTTGTGCGGAAGGGCGAGAGGGTACTTCCAACGGGCTTGTGCAAAGCACCCTTCTAACCGGTCGCTAGCGGTGTGCCAAAGTTGAACGCAATCGGCCCAGCCGTTCCTGAGATCTGGAAGCGGCATTCTGCACGTGCGCACGTGCAAACGGGGTCCAAAATGACTTTTGCACGGCACCCTACTAACCGGTCCCCAACCGTGTACCAAATTTGAGCGCAATCGGCCCAGCCGTTCTCGAGATCTGGAAACGTCCCCTGCACGTGCGCACGTGCAGTAGCACCCTAATTGCAACACATGGGAATGCATCGCCTGGTGGGTGCCTACCTGTATGCCAAGTTTCAGCGAAATCGCCCCAGTAATTACCGAGTTACTGAAATGGGAACAAATTTGGCACCTCTTATTGTTGTATTTTGCACGTACACTGGGGGTCACTCACATAGATCAAGAGTATCCGACCTTTGGTAGAAGGGATGCAGCTACACTATAAAAATTACCGCAAGACAATCGCTCTAGCCGCTGCTGAGATATGAGCCTCTCAAAATCACAACTTTTGCAAAACTGCTTGAACACCCTTGACTTTTCACGTGGCACGTGCCACGACGGTCACTAAGATGTATCAAAAGTAGTCAATTACGGGGTAGAAGGGATGGGGCTACCCAGCAAAAAAGACCGCAGGCCAATCGGTCCAGCGGTTGCTGAGATATAAACCTCTCAAAAGCGTTACAGGCCGGGCCGGGCCGGGCCGGGCCGGGCCGGGCCGGGCCGCTCATACTGAGATTTTTCCGTTATATTGAAAAGACTTCGCTTCGCTCGCTGCGCTCGCTCGCTCGTAACCAAGCTTCATGAAATCGACCACTAGAAGGGATAGATCACTTTGGCCGGCTTGAGGGGATAGTCTCCTAACATTGACAGTGGTCAATTCATTTCTTGCATTGACAAGTGGTCAGATTGGTACTTGCGCTGACAGTGGTCAATTGCTCGCATTGACAGTGGTCACGCAAGTGTATTAGGTCGGTAAAGAAGGGCAGGGGCATTGGGAATGTGGGCACATTCAACATTCCGGTCAACGTTATTGCTTCTTCCCGGAAATAACCGATTGGCTACTGAAGGTAAAAACACATATGTAGATACTGGCACGGTTGGATTCTCACTTTATACGTCCACCGAATCAAAAGTTAGAACGAAGTGAAAAAAGGCATTTCCCCGATAACGAGCGAGCTCGAAGTGAGAAGCAAATCTAATCTGGCCCTAACCCTCGCCGGTGCGGGGCAGTGGCTATATTTTGCGTCCCTCAACGGCTCAAGGGTGACACGACCCTCTGGCCTCTAGTGGCTCGCTCGCAATTATACTGGAACTTAACGAGGAAAAAAGGAAAGTGCTTATCTCTAAAAAATGTAAGTCAGACATTCTTAATTTAAGGTCTCAAGGAAGGGACAGTGGAGACCTCAAAAGATAGGTAAACTATAAATTATATGTGCATAGGTATATTAATAAAGACAAGCAGTAAAAAATAGAGCATGGGCGCGTTTCGATTATTCAATCGTCTAGTGTAAGCACAAGGAAAACAAAATGTGAAACAAGGAAATAAGAAATAAACATATAGTACAGATTGTTTCCTTTGTACTAAGCTGATGACGATTGAATAATTGCACTGTTACTGCTCGTCTTTTATAAAAACATGTTGGGAATGTAAGAAGGATATATTCTGTTACCACGCCTATTTGCAAATGTTGATGTGCAAAACACTATGTCACAAATATATCAAGCAGGGACAACAAAAGATAATTCACCATTACAAATATCGTCGTTCGACCGACAGGGGGGGGGGGGAGTGGCCAGATCACGTAGACACGTCACTGTTAATCACTTTTTACTGGTAACCAGTGACATTTTATGGATGACTTTGATCGCTTCTTTGTCTTTGCTCAGCTGTTCCAGGAAACGTGAAATGGCCTCAGGCATATTCTTCGGCACCTGAAACACTTTCCGCTTCGATCGCCTTCTTTTGACTGCGGTGACCTTCTTGTGGTCCCTAGCCTTCCGGTGCACCTCCTCCAGGAGGGTGGGTCGGTCGGCTGCCCTCTGTGACCTCCCACTGACAGGTCGTGAGCCGGCGGCCTGGGAGGACCGGCCGCTCACCGGCCTGGAGCCACCGCTCCTGGCCGGCGGGTCCCGCGCCGCCGGCCGCCGGCCGCTGCCTCTCCGCGGCCGCCGCCGGGGGCGGTCACTGTGCGTGGACCACTGGTCCTCGGACCGGTCCGATGGTCCACTGGCCTCCGACGGTGAGTAGGTGACCCGGCGCGAGCGGCGGCGGCCCGGCCTCCGGCTGGCAGGGGTCTGGGTGCAGCGACTCCGGGTCCCTTGAGAGGGCTTCTTCGCAGAGACCGGGCGCCCCTGTTTGTGCTTGGTGCTATCTGGATCCGGGTCTTCGGCACGTGTCTGCTGCTGCTGCCACTTAGCTGGAGGATGGCTGTCCCTTGGCTCATCATTTTGCCTCTCGTCCAAGGCAGGCTGATGCATGAACGGAAACTCGTAATCAAACTCAGGCGGCGGAGGGATGATATCTTCTGAAAAAGCCTCAGTCATGCTTGGACATCGCTGATGATGTTGAAAGTAGGCTGCAAGCTTGGCGCTCAGCTCGTCACGAGAGACGCTTGCTGAATTAGCAACAACGGAGTCGCTGGATGCCAATTCTGCCTCTCTAGGTATTTCAGTGGCCCCTGTATGATTTTCCTGGGGCAGAACTCCAGCCACCTCAGTGATCTCTATTGCAGTCACTCTCGTGTTCCAGCTTCGTTGATACGTTTCCGTCAGACCAATATCATTTTCTCTTTGCAATTCTGGAGATGACGCTAGAGCTAGATGAAGGTCAGGCATTCGAGCGTCGGTGAAACTTGTTTGAGTCAATTTTGAATCACCCTTCTTACCACTCTCTTCGAAAGATTTCAGGTTCTTCGCACGAACAGAAAATCTCCTTTTCAATTCTTGCACACCTAAAGCTGGAGTCTCCGTTGTGTGTGCAAACTCTGAGATGTCGTTATCAATACTTCTTGCAGATCTTTTCGGAGAACTGTGGCGGTGTGACTTCCCGTTTTCCTTCTCACTAAAAACAGTGCAGGACTTGGAGGAGAAGGAAGCAGAGTCCCCAGTCGATCGCAATTTAGTTACACCTTGGCGTCCAGCACCATAGACATCACTTAAATGTAACGCTTTGGGCATTCCAGATATTGATGTTTCATTTTTAGACATGCCACTAGAATGTGTATGAAGAGTTGTGTCAGATTCTGCTTTGCATGACGTTTTGCTGCGCTTACTCTGAAAGTTTAACTCTTTATCTCTTTGTTTTCTTGCTAGAGTTTGCAGTGCAACGAAATCAAGCGGCTTATCTTTAATTCGTCTTTTCCACTCATTTTCAATCAAAGATTTAACATCTTCTCCCAAAGCTTTATCCGGAGGCTCTTTTCGAGTTTTCAGTGCTGATACCAGGGTTTGACCTTCCCGAATGTCCGAGAGGCTGGAGCTGGACGCCCATCCCGATTTTCGTTCGTAACTTGATCTCGTTTTCTTTGTTGCCCACGATGGCCGGAATGCTGGACATGATTTTAAACTGAGACTATCCGAGCTTTCGTCGTATTTATCAAAAGTTACAAGATTTCGTCCTAAAACTTTATCTCGTGGGAGAAGAGACGTTAGTTTAGATGACATTAGGTATTCTTAATAGTTCACCTTCCAGAAAATAACGCAATTTCTGTCGAGTTCATTTTGTAACAAAAGGTGATGGCTAGCTAAAATTTTCAAATACAAAAACATTCAACCAATTGAGAAAAGTAAAACAAAAATCAACTGCCTGACAGTTTTGTCGTCATTTTATTATCGGCTGTCTTGATTTCTAAACCAATAAAGACCGTGCATTCGAATCACGGTAAACTTGCACTTTCTGTTACAGTTTCTCGTTTTTTCATCCCTGTGAAAAATGGTAGATTTAATTTAACGTCTGTTCCTCAAAGTGACTTTGCCTTCCCTAGGCTGCTTAATTTAACATTGTAAACTTACTTTTCGGTTTGTCTTGCAGGGGATCCAGCCTTGTTGAAGATGACCGTCCTCTCCTCGGTGAGGCGTTCCTGCTAGTTCCCTGCAATAGACGAATTAGGCATGCAAACAGTTATAAAGAACATGCCACATTGGGAGCTTTAATTTCATGCCATTATAACTCAACTCTCCAGAGGCCAGATAAAACCTCCTTAGTTTTTAGCAATTAGCAGTAAATGTAGTATTACTACGGTAATTGACACCAAATAGTAACTCTGTGTTATCGAGTTATATTCATTTGTCTTTGCCACATGGTTATATTAACCGAAAGTACCTCACAGTCCGGCCGATGTGTGCTTGCTTCAAAGTGATCTGTGCAATCGGTGGGGTAATCGGTTTTCTTCACTTTGAAGATATTAGGCAAATGTCATCATGCAGTCTAGAACTTACATAATACAAAAATTCATACATATCAGCGTCATTATATTAGATATATTATGTTACCAATGGATAAGCACACAGAAAGACACGCGCTTCAGGCTAATCTAATGCAGAAAGTTGGATATTAACAATTATTATAAAAAAACGTCAGACTCACCCGGCCATTGCTACCTCCGCTGTCCCCAGTCGTTTCTGAAAAAAAAAATCGGTAAGTTAGTTAAATATTGAAATAAAACATACGTATGTAAGTTCGTGATATGCTTCATACAGTCGCGGCAGGGTAACACTGAACGGCTTGTGGCTCTTGTTAGATTGAGAGGCTGTATGCGGCATGGTGGTGGTTACGTTAATATTCGATAATCTTCTCAGAAACATTATAACAATACACTGTATTGGTTTGATTGGCAACTCTATTATTCAACTTCATATTTCAATAGCTGTTAGTTTTAAAAACGTGTAAAACTTACAACGATACAGAAACACAATGCATTCCGAAAATAATTGATAGTAAAAGAAACATTTAATTGCAGCAGCCACGCAAGCATGCATCAAGCTATAAAACATTAAAAACATGCCGACATGCCGGTCACGCCCTGGTTTTCGTCTTCCGGTCCTTCCGGTCCTCGCCGCCACTGATAGCCGTTATAGTCTACGAGTAAACACGGGATAAATGTGTGGGTGGTTGTTTGAAAATTTCCCGGAAAGACCATTGCGACTAAGATCAATAACTGTCCCCACCGCAGTAACCCGACCTTCTCCCGTCAGTTTGCACCCAACTCCAGTGAACAGAGGTGACCTTTCGTGCACCAGACACATCGCGTGCACAGTGCACAGTTGGTCACGCGCCGCGCCCGTGCAGCCGCCCACCTCTGCGCCGGCGGGAGAGGGATCGCTCGCGCTCCTCCCAGCGCCGATAATCCTCGTCCAGTAGCCGTTTGCGCTCCACCAGCAGCTGCTGGCCGCGCGTGGTCGGCACCGTCGGCCGCTCCTTGGTCACCACAGGCCGGCGCCGCTCCGGTGGCTGCCGCCTCCTGGGTGACCGGCTCGTCCGGACTTCCGCGGCTGACACGGCAGCGGGGGCGCCGGTCGACCGCGGCCCCCTCTTCGGAGCCGCCGCTGCCGCCTGAGACTTCGGCTCCGGTTCCGCTGCTGCCGGCTGGGACTTCGGCTCCGGAGCCGCCGCTGCCGGCTGGAACTCCGGCTGCGGCTCCTTTGCTGCTGGCTGGGGCTCCGGCGCTGGCGACGGGTCCGGGTCCGGTGTCTGCTTGTGAGGCTCTGATTCCGGCGCTGGTACTGGATCCGAAATATGCTCTGACTGAGTCATCTCTTTTGGTTCTGCTGCCTCTTTCACTTCAGGCTCAGATTTGGAGCCACATTCCGGTTCGATTTCGGGCTTAGTTTTGGTGTCTGATTCGGGTTCAGATTCAGGTTTGCGTTCAGCTTCAGGTTTGGGCTCAGGTTCAGTTCCTGGTCCAGCTTTGGGTTCAGGTTCGGGATCAGGTTTCGGATCAGTTTCAGGTTTGGGAGCGGCTTCAGGTTCGGATGTGGGTTCAGGCTTATCTTCTTGCTTAGGCTCAGATTTTGGTTCCGGTTCAGGCTCTGGTTGAGACTTTTCTTGGTTTACAGGCTCAAATTGCGATTCAGGTTTTGGTTCCGGCTCCGGTTCAGGCTGGAGCTCAGACTGTGGTCTGGATTCGGGTTCGGGTTCTCGGTTTGGTTCAGGATCAGGTTCAGGCTCTGATTCAGATCTAGTTTCAGATTCAGGCTCGGATTCTGACTGATGTTTTGATTCAGGCTCTGGATCAGGTTCCGGTTTTGGTGTCTGCTCCAATTTTGCATCTACTTCTGACGCAGGCCTTCTTTCGTCCTCCTTTTCTTCTGCCTTTAGTCCAGAAGATTCCGACTCTAACTTTGCGTCCTTCTCCTCGCCGTTGGCTTCGTCAGGGCCTGGCTTAGATTCTGGGCGGCCACCTGATGCAGGTTCGTCCGCGTTTGTGTCTTGTGGGCCTGGAACCGAAGGAGCTCGCTCAGGTTCTGGGGAATGAGGTAATGACTTATGCTCGATGTCTGTTGAAGTCTCTTTGGGATCGACATTGGGTTTTTCGACGTTGGCATTAGTTGGTTCAGTGTTCGAGTCTTCCTTCGGCTGGGCGTCTTCTGGTGAAGCGACATGTTCTGGAGGGCTGGAGGGCTCCATTGACTGCTTTTCAGCGTCCTGTGCTGGCTCTCCTTCGACCTGACCGGCATCTCGTCCATCCTCAGGGTCCTTCTGGCCCCCCATTTCGGTCACAGTAACCGCACTATCTTCAAGGCTCAGTTCTTGGTGCTTATTCTCTCCGGGCTGGTTGTCTGCGGGCTCCTTGTTTTGAAGACCACTTTCCCCTCTAGGTGTGTCCTCGTTCTCGTCCTCCTGTTCCTCCTCTCGGCCGTCCGGCTGGTCCGGGCTGGGCCACTCCGGCTCTGCCCTCGTCTCCTGCTGGTCCGGGCTGGGCCACTCCGGTTCTGCCCTCGTCTCCTGCTGGTCCGGGCTGGGCCACTCCGGCTCTGCCCTCGTCTCCGGCTGGTCCGGGGTGTCCTCCGGAGAGGACACGTCCTCCGGCACCTCCGGCTCCGGACTCTCCGGCCCGTCCGAGGCCGTCAACTCCGAGAGCACCGACTCGGGCCGTGACGAGGCCGGCGTCGCGACCTTCAGGGGCCCCTCCTCCGCCATCGACACGCGCCACCACGTGCCACGTGCCACGTGTCGCCGTCACGTGGCGCGGCGGCTGGCACACGGTCAGGTCACAGCGCACCCGCGTCACCGCCACGGACGGCAGCACTGCGTCACATACGTCTATGGCCGGCGTATGTCGAAATGGCCCCAGTGGCTTCGATAGCACCAGATCCTTGTCTAGCGTTGTGGCACGACAATTGAGTTATGAGGACACGGGACGGTGGTTTACCGAACCACTAGGCTGCTTTAGATGCCAAGCTGTTGCAGGCAAGCTGAATTTATGTCCCTGGCATGTCGGATAGGTATTCGGTTTGCTAGTAAGCTGTCCCTCAGTTTAGTAGTGGAATCGTGCATAGTAGCCCCCGCCAGATAAACCAATTTTCTACGTACGCCCTGACCGCCACTGATGCGAGAAAAGCCGAGTTGGTGGAACCCTCTTTGCCGTTTCGCTCCTAATTGAGCTTTAGGACTCTTGGGAAAACGAGCGTTGGCAACGTTACATTACGAGTAGCAGCAAGGTGTCCAATTTTAATATAGTCAACCGATCACCTCTGAGTCAGATCAATTGTACTCGATCGGACCAATAATTGCCATTTCGATCACAAAATAAGTGTTGCGTTCAAGTGTTACTGGGAAAGAAGAAAGCTATGGGATGTCAGAAGAAACCGATGTGTTGATGATTTAATATATTGAGTCGATTAACGGGGGAAATAATGAAGGGTTTCTTAGTAGGTTCATCTGATACCGTTGTTGGTTAGTTGCTGATAGCATGAGGTTTAAATGAATGTACGCTGATACATTATTCACACTCTTTTTAGTGTACCGTGGCTATAATACTTTTGTAAACACCCGGTTGGCCCGGGCCGACGTTTGAGGAGATTGGACGTCAGCTCCTTTCAGTCTGTCTAAGCCGGCTGTTTGGGCAGCGTCTTTGGGGGCACGGATGGAGGCGTCTGCTTGTTTGCACCGCGAGTCCATGTCTGTACATCTTGATGTACAGACATGGACATCAAGGTCACCATCATGGACATCATGATGGACAAGGACATCATGGACATTAGGGTGTGTCATCGAGGGGGTGATTCTCGCAGAATCAAACGCCGTAAGGTTTTTCCTTGGCACATTGATCAATAATGAATTTTCATCCATATCCGAGTCCACCAAAATTAAAATTCGTGCGGCGCCAGCCGTTCAAAGTTTTGGCGCCCGGCGTTGCAGTCTCCAATGCTGAGCGTCACCCAGCACTGCGAGTAACACCAAGTATTGTAGGAGGTAATAATGCAAAATAACTACCGCTGAAAATGATGCTTTTGAGCGCTTCTAAGGCTGATTGTTGCAAAAAAGCATGTCCTTAGAGTGTCCAATTATTCTTTTTATTGTGCTCAATGAATTAAATCGAGCATGGCTTCTGAAACTAAAGAAGAAGCTGCCCGATTTTGAGAAGCGGGCGGGGTGGAGGCGGAGACGGCAAGTGACTCAGATTCGTCTTCTGAAAACACCGACTCCGTGGCATCCTCTGGGCGGTGCTTCTTCTTCTTCTTCTTCTTCTTCAGCATGTCATCTCGTGTGACCTGGCCCGTCTCCACCAGGAAGTCCCGGATGAGTCCAGCCTCGGTGGAAAGGATCTCCCTCAGCGTCGGCAAAGGGCCCCACGGGCGGGTCCGTGGCCCCTGGTAGGCGGGGTAGTCGACCAACAGGTGTTTGGCCGAGTCCGGTTCGTCGCCAACGGACTTTCTCGTCAGACTCGGCCGGACCAAGTCGGAATCGGGTGTCTCCGGTGAGTGGGGAGCAGCTCACGCGGAGCTGTGCCACTGTGATCGACGCTCGGCGGTCCAGTTCTATCTCCGTGGCCCAGAGCGCCACATCGTCCGCATTCGCAGATGTGTACCTCCAGTTCCCGAGCCGCAGTTATAGCCGGTCATACGAGCCTGCAGGGTTAGCGTCCGATGGCTGCGCTGGTCCTTCAGGAAGACAGCCTCCTCCTGAGTGACTGTGGGCGATGAGACTTTTGCACCTGCTCTGAGAGTTGCATTTGGCGATATCCAGGAGTTGTTGAATTATGCAGTGGCGGCGCTTTGCTGGTTCCCTGTGTCGTGCTATAATTGTCGTATGGGCATTTCCTAATCAGCTACGTTTTTTTCGCCTCGTGAATTAGGATCCGGATAGCATAGGGCCCTGCCGAAAGTGACACGGCCGCGTACAAAACATTTCGTGATAGGACAGCCGGCACTTTTGTCCCAACAGCGACTGCTGACTAAAGCAGAGGCCTTCAGTTATGTCAGGTGGCTGAGTGCTCAAAGAAGAAATCCAACAAATAGTGCATTTAGGGCCGTGGCGAAAAAAAAGGACAAGGCAACTCTGAACTAATGAAGGAATCCCTGTTCGCGATCTATGTAAAACACACGACGAAAGTGATCAAAAGGGACTGCTATAAGCCCCACAGACAGCCCTACAGACTTCTCAACAAAACACCAGAGACACAGGAAGGAACAAAGCGCCGCCACTGCATAATTCAACAACTCCTGGATATCGCCAAATGCAAATGCAACTCTCAGAGCAGGTGCTTAAGTCTCATCGCCCACTGAGTCACTCAGCAGGAGGCTGTCTTCCTGAAGGACCAACGCAGCCATCGGACGCTAACCCTGCAGGCTCGTATGTATGACCGGCTATAACTGCGGCTCGGGAACTGGAGGTACACATCTGCGAATGCGGACGATGTGGCGCTCTGGGCCACGGAGAGAGAACTGGACCGCCGAGCGTCGATCACAGTGGCACAGCTCCGCGTGAGCTGCTCCCCACTCACCGGAGACACCCGATTCCGACTTGGTCCGGCCGAGTCTGACGAGGAAGTCCGTTGCGACGAACCGGACTCGGCTTAACACCTGTTGGTCGACTACCCCGCCTACCAGGGGCCACGGACCCGCCCGTGGGGCCCTTTGCCCCCTTCCACCGAGGCTGGACTCATCCGGGACTTCCTGGTGGAGACGGGCCGGGTCACACGAGATGACATGCTGAAGAAGAAGAAGAAGAAGAAGCACCGCCCAGAGGATGCCACGGAGTCGGTGTTTTCAGAAGACGAATCTGAGTCACTTCCCGTCTCCGCCTCCAGTTCCACCCCGCCCGCTTCTCAAAATCAGGCAGTTTTTTCTTTAGTTTCAGCAGCAATGCTCGATTTAATTCATTGAGCACAATAAAAACAGTAATTGGACACTCTAATGACATGCTTTTTGCAACAATCAGCCTTAGAAGCGCTCAAAAGCATCATTTTCAGCGGTAGTTATTTTGCATTATTACCTGCTGCAATACTTGGTGTTACTCGCAGTGCTGGGTGACGCTCAGCATTGGAGACTGCAACGCCGGGCGCCAAAACTTTGAACGGCTGGCGCCGCACGAATTTTATTTTTTTTGCAAAAACGGTTGCTATGCCGTGTGTATGCAGGTCTCAGTGCCAAGGGATTTCTTTACGGCATTTGGTTCTGTTACTGATGACACACCCTAATGGACATCTTGTTAAAACGAAACATTTTCATGAGGAGACAGGCAAGGATGAAAACCATGCCGGTGACCACTGCGCAGTATCACACAGTAATAAGCGAAGCCGCATTGGAATGAATTAGACAAATAAAAAAACTTACTGCTCATTGCGGAGAGGCAGCATGTCAAACTATCAAAAGTAAATATGGATATGCATTGCATTTTATCTAGGCATGTAGTTGATATGAATCTGAGCCAACATGCCTTCAACACTGACAAATTTGCTTCTCTTTGGTGGCCCTGCACTGGCAAAAATTCGCAAAGTAGGTATTGTTTGTTAACCATTTCTAGCCATTAGAGACATCAACGCAGGGCATCGACGCAGCGACCTTCCTTATCAGTTTTCTTTAACCGTTGACTGGCTTCTAATGACGGTTATATGGAGTATAATGAACTATAAATACAAAGGCGAGTAAACCATGCTGTCTTTCAAATTAAATTTCTACAATTTTTAGTAGTTAATACCAATCTATAAGTTAACTAAGAAAAAATATAACCAAAAAGGCATCGTTTTCATGCTGAAATCAAACTACGTGTCCAGTGAACACCTAAATGAACGATTTTTATCAAGTATTTACAAAAAGTAATCAACGACGATAAGATATTAGCCCTTGGGCGTGTCAGTCTTTTTAGTTTTTACAGGGTCTAACGGATATATGCATATATATAACGTTTAATATATTTACCAACTGTTCATATGGGTGCTAAATTCGAAACTAGCTCCAAAAACTACTCTTGAAACATGTGAAACTCAAAAAAGTGATCCAAGGTCATCTAAGGTCAATGACCTTGAACTGACCTTCAGGTGACCCTGATGGCCTGATGCTGACACCCAGCATAATGCATGGAACAAACATCATTTCACATGTTGAAACGTTTACAACCACAAAAAGACTGGAATGCACGGATAATGTACGCTGACATACGCCGAATCGCGATTTCGGCCTGACATGGTCTCGAGAAACAGGTCAAAGGTTAAAGGTCATTTGGGTCAAGGTCATCAAATTTTGAGGATAGGTGTAAAACTAGTAAACTCAAGGGAACTAAAAGTTTCGTTGCGATTGGCCATTTTTTGCACGAGTTATTTGCAAAAAAAAAAAAAAACTGAAGGGGTGGGGGGTCCGTTAGCCCACCCCCCCCCCTTGTGAGTGCGAGGGTTAAGATTCACGATTTTCATATGGTCATGAACTACCCATTTCAGGTTAGCGTGGTAAACTCTCCTTTAAGTGTTTTTTTCGTGTATATTATTTACAAATATGACGATTCCACTACTACACTTTTGACAGTGATGGGCAGCTTACTGAGATACCGTGATGGGTTCGGGGCGGGTATATGTCACCGTGTCAGGTCCGTCTCTGGCCCGTTCACTCCACTCACACACCAGCGCCGCGAGCTGGAATGCCGATATGTCGGAACCACCTCAGTCGCACTGGCCAGCCGACCTGACCTCGGCATCCAGACAT